CGGTCCCGGCAGCGCACGGCCCGGCCTGTGCCAGCCTGGTGCTGCTGAGAGCCCCGCCGCCCACCGCAGCACCCCTGGGAAGGCGGGCAGCTGCGATCGACGAGCTCGGCCGCTCGGCAGAGGGCCCTGCTCGGCGGTGCGGAGTGCGACTGTCTCTCCCGGAAGCGGGGCGCTTGTCACCGTTGTTGGGGGGAGGAGGAGGCGGCGGCGATGGCGGCGGCGGAGCAGCTCTATCCGCGGAGCTCCATCGAAGATGACTTCAACTATGGCAGCAACGTGGCCTCGGCCAGCGTCCACATCCGCATGGGTAGGGACTGGGGATGAGTAAAACCGCCACACACTCCCTCCCCCGAGTCCCCTCCGCCTCAGCCCCCCCCCAGCCATTGCGGAGCGGCCCCAGCTGCCACCCCTTGCTGGACGGTCGAAAGGGGTGTCGTACCCCACTGCTCCCAACAAGCTTCTCTCTGTTAACTCCAGCGCCTGGGGCGTTTAGCTGAATTCAGGTTCTGCGCAGTATTTCATCTCTGGGTAAAAGTGGGGAGCCAGGGCATTATTTAGTCCAGGCTAAGCGTCAAGGGTAAGGGAAAGATCAGTGACTAGCAAAAGATTTTAGTGTATAGCGGTAGGTCTTTCTGTCAGAGGAATTAAACCCGTATAGATTCAGACTTGATTTTCCCCGGAGTGATGAATTTTGGAGAACAAACATGATACCTGAGATTTGTAAATTCTATAATTGGTGCCCGTTATTATGGTAGTTTAACCAGGAGACAGGGATTTGTATTTCTTCTGCGAGGTGTTAAAATATTTTCTCTCCCGCTAAAGCGTTTGTGTGCTATAAGGTTGTATTAGCCGCTGTGAAATAGTGTTTTGCTGTTAATGTGCAGGTCTCAAATGCATTGAATATTCTTGTAGAAGGTGTCTAATCAGTAATCCTTGCTGAAATAGTGTTGGATTCATCTTGGAATAAAAACAGCTGTGTGCTATGAATTTTTTATTAGATATTTCTGATAAACAGGAGATCTCTTCCTATCAAAATACAGTTTTATCTTGTTTGGAAAAAAAAGGATGCCATAGGAAATATGAGAGAAGTATGCCATTAGCAAGATTGCTGACGCATTTAATAATGTGGGGAGAAGGCTGTGCTAGCTAGCAGACGACTTACAGGTTTGTTAAGTTTATTACAACAAAGTAGGCCTCAGTCCCTCATTGTTTACAAGTATATTTAACTTCACCTGCTGCAAGCAGGTGGTTCAGCTTCTCATAGTATGTGCTCTTAAACTTGTTTAGGCTGTGCTATTAAAGATTGAATTGATTCTTCCTGTAAGCTTATTCTAACTTTCAAAGCATTTTGCCTAATGCACTTGATCTCCTTCCATTCAGAACAGAGAATGTCTACATGATACATCTGTATGTCCTGAACCATTCTCCACTCTTTGTAATTCTAGAATTATGAAGCCTGTTAGCTTAATTCTGGATTTTTTTTTTTTCCTAGCAGTCTGTAGGTACCCATTCAGTACAGTGCAAGTCACAAATGATAATAAACAATATTTAACATGACAGAAGGTCAGTCAAAGAGGTGTTACTGTAAAAGTTTTTTCTTTTTAAACTTTTATAGCTGTTTGTCTTCCACAGAACTTCCAAATTAATCTTTCTTCATTTAGGTCCATTAGTTATTAGTAACATGATGGAGAAGCTATACTGTTTGTAATTTCTTGGTGAGATTAGGTGTATGTAGTTTTTTTAAATAGTCTGAAATAAATGAATTACAAATGTTTTTGTATTTCTTTTGTCGTTGTTGTTTAAATAATGAAGTCCAGGAATAAATGTAATTTTGCTGAAATACTTTATCAATTTCTTAAGGAAAAAGGGATTCCAACCACTTCGCTGTGTGCTTTTTTACTGAATAGCTTCAGATGGTTCCTTATGAAATAGAAAACTTGTATCTGATTTACTGTTGAACTGTGTAACTCAAAAGTGATTTCATTTTTATTTTCCTTATTCTAGCTTTTCTACGGAAAGTCTACAGCATTCTTTCCATTCAAGTTCTTTTGACTACAGTCACGTCTGCAATTTTTCTGTACTCTACTGGAGTGCAGGCATTTGTTCATGAAAGGTAAATAGTAAAATGAGATTGAGCTGTTTATTGTGTGTTAAGTATAGTTTATGTAGTTTGCTGCTCTGGATTAGGAGCACTTCAGTATTCCTAATAATTTTTATACCCTGTGTTTTGAATCTTTAATTCTGTAAGAAATCTTCTAACCTGATTAGGAAATAACTGACATTTTTCTCCTTGGTTTATTATTAAAATTTATTTTTTACTATTATCATTAGAGTTTATCTTAATCAATACTTTATGAATAGTGCTTGTTTTAATATTTACGCTATGGAAAGCTATACAGTAGCTGCAGAACATATCAACTATTGATGTTTCTTGTTTTGGTCAAGTATCTCCTTTTAAAATCTAATTGGAATGCTGTTGTTTATAGGTACCAGTTCCAAAAAGCTGAATCATTTGGTGCAGTTAGTGCCTGTGTTTGTGGCATTCAGGTGCTTATAAAAAACAGGTCCCTGAACATGGAGTTCTTAATAGGCAAAATATTACATGTACTTTAATACTGTTAGTTTAGTACAGGTGGATTTTCCTCTTCATACGGCTTCATCTCCAGGTGATTGATTCCTGGGCAATCTTTAGCTTCTGTATGAAGAAATCATCTTTACCTGTGACTGTGCTATTTTTAACTGAATATCTGTGGTGGTATGGTTTAGAGCAGTTTTATTGTAAAACTTGCCTAACATTTACTTGGATATAGAGACCAGTATCTTTATTTAGGTGATCACTTTAAAATTTGGTTTTATATAAACTGATTTTTAGTCTTCTGGGTATTTTATTTTCATTTTGATGACATTTTTGTATGGAACTTTACAGGCCTGCCTTGCTTTTGATATCTGGGTTTGGATCTTTGGCTATAATTGTGGCACTAACCCTCTACAGACACCAGCATCCTGTTAATTTATACCTGCTTTTTGGATTTGTAAGTATTTATATGAAAATTCAGTTTTAATAGTCCCTAGAATTTCCTTCGTTGTGATGAATTCCTTGAAGCAAACTAGTGGTGGGTAATTTGTTTTTCTTGTATTTCTTGAAAGATACATTATATGCTTATGAAGGTCTGAGTTAATTTTTGGATATTCTGTCTGCAGGTTGTTCCTAGATAGCCTCTATGTCAGGCTTCTTCCAGCATCTTTTTAGGAAGAGTGTTAGAACTTGGAATCAGATTGAGCAAACTTTTTTTTTTGTTTTTATCCTGTGTATGTATATAAATGTATCTATTTGCTCTCATTGTTCTGTTGATGGCAGTGATTTTGCTATGAAACTGCTCAGTAGGAAAGAAGGAGGCATTTCTGTTACCTTATTTGTTTAATGGATGACCTCTAGCAGACATCCGAAAGCAACCAGCCATGTGTGTATATTTCTTTAATTGTGACGCTAAATTCTGAGCATGTTTCAAGCACTGGCAGGTCAGTCAGAGCTGTCCTCAAATTTCAGTTTCCTGACTGTTGCTGCAAATTTGTAGATATGGGCTGTTACTCTTAGATATTCTGGATTATGTAGCAAATCAGTATTCTGGAAAGAAGTTACAGTAGGACAATTAGAATTTGATGTTTTAGGAGTTGCCTAAATTGTATTTGTGATATAACAGGAAGACAGCTTTGCTGTGTAAGTACATAGAGTGTTTGAATGGCAACCCAGTTACATGCATCCTGACTTCTGAATTCTTGCAGGAGAGTAAAATGTTTAAAAACTTTCAACAAGTGCAGCTGTTACAAGGAGTGATGTAATAGTTTGGCTAAGTGTGGTGTGGGAGTTTGTGGTATGACAGTTTAAGTATTACATTGTGTAGGAATAGAAGGATTAAATCTGTGTCTGATAAATTGATTTAAACAGAGTCTGGGTTAAATGTTTTGTATTTCTGATCTCTTCATTCATGACATAGACTTTTCTCATATTTTGTTGTAATGAAACTTAATTTGAAATTATCTTTTGGAAAAACTCAGAGCCCATACTAGCCTTCAGCCCATACATTAATAAAATGTTTGATTTTAAGTTAGCTGTTTTAAAACAAGGACAGGTGGGAAAGGAAAGTTGATGCAGACACTTAGCTGTCTAACAAGGTATTAAGAGTGTATTAATTTTATAGTCCCTTCAGCAGTTTGTAAGAAGTGTGATAAGAATGCTGTATGCTTTGAGTAGAAAACCTTCTACAGCGGCTGTCTCTCATTAATTTTCAGTTTATATTGTATTCTTTTTATGTAACACAACTTCCAGCACAGTAAAACAGTGTGATTGCCATTTTCTTGTTGAAAAATAAACATGTTTTCATATACAAAGATTTAACAAGGGAGCTAATGTAACACATGCTGGGATTATGTAGCAGAATGGGGCTCATTGCATGTGAAGTCTCCGTGTATGTGTTTTGTGGGTGGGTGTTTTATCTTTCTAATTTTTTGTTTTTACTTTTTGTAGACCTTACTGGAAGCACTGACAGTTGCTATTACAGGTAAATGGTAGCCATCCTATTGTCTGATTCCATAAAGAAATTGGGAAAGGAATCTAATATATTGTATTAATTGCCATCTTAGATTCCTAAATGTGACTAAAATGATAATAAATCTAATTTGAAAATTTTAATGACAGTGATATGAGTTTAGCAAAAACCAGGGAATCAGGGGGGAAAAATGGATTCTGGTCCAGAACTGCAGCTGTACAGACCTGAAGTGAGTTGTGCCATCTATTCTTTCGGTGCAGCTAGCAATGTTAGTTTCCTATGAGGTAGCTCTCCTGCAAGTGAAATATCCTTATCTTACTCCTCAGTTTCCTCCAAGAGAATTTGAGTTTGGACAGTTCTGTACTTCGTTGTCAGTGTTGACATGGGGCAGTCTGCGGACAAGTCATGGTATCACTTCACACTATAGCTTCCAGTATAAGATGAAACCTCTTCTTTGTGGCTTATGATCTGAAAAAAAAAACCAAACAACAACCCTTGTTTGGGGAAAGGAAAGATTAAGGAGAAAGAAGAGAAGAAAAAGGTTTCACTTTTTTCTCTTATCTTTCCCCTCCTATCCCCTAATCAAAACTTTATGAGGCTTTACAGAGGACTTTTTTTTTTCCCTTGTTTCAGTATCATGAAAAATTCAAGTAGCTTTTTCCTTAAGATCTCACATATCTGTGCTTGAAATACTTCTTATTTTCTTCCTTTTTGTTTATTATTGTGAGTAGGGAAGATCTGTTATTTCCATTTAAGAAGCTACAGCTATAAGATAACTGTCAAACTTAGTTCAAGGATCAGTAAGTCCTGTGATCATGATTTTGAAGTACAAAGACAAGTTCAGACATAATTTACTTTTTTTGTTCAGACTTAAGATTTTTTTCCCCTGTCTGTGAAATTTTAAACTTCTACTTCCTCAAAAGATAACTTAACAAATACATAGTGTAGTGTACTTTAAAACGACAGTTTAATTTTTCTGTTTACAGTGAGTTTCTATGATGTGTCCATCGTCCTGCAAGCCTTTATTCTTACTAGTGCTGTATTTCTTGGACTGACTGCATATACCTTGCAGTCAAAGAAAGACTTCAGCAAATTTGGAGCAGGGTATGTTGTTATATTATTGATGATTTATTTTTAAATAATCTTTTTTGTTGTTAAGATACTTTTTTCTTTTTTGAAGCAAACTTTGCAGATATAATAAAGAATACAGGTCAAAAGAACCTGCTTCAAGGGAATGATGAGGCTGTTATTTCTCTTAAATTAATTATGCAGTTCTGCTTTCTTGGTAAGAAGTTATTTTCTGTGATTATGGTTCTTAAAACCATAGTATTACACTAGAAAACTAATTTACCTGGATTTTTCACTGAGACAGAAAGCAGCTGCTTCAAATATGTCCTAACTTTACCATTTAAAAAATAACTTTTGACAGTTATATAAAACCAGGTTTTACTGCTGATAAATGAACAGTTGGCATGTAAGAATTATGGATATTTACTTACTGAATATATTGTGAAAAGGTTTTATAAGAAGGGAAGAAATTTTTAGTAAAACTTAAAAGACAATACATTGTTGCTCACAGGTTGGTTTTTGGTGTTTGTTGTTTTTTTTTTTCAGCCTCTTTGCTTGTTTGTGGATTTTAATCTTCTCAGGTTTCTTGAGGGTAAGATACCTTGTGTTCAAGGTTAAAAAATATTCTTTAACATAAATCTTTTACTGACTTCTAGGATAACAAAGTAGTTTTACACTGTCCAATATAGCTTAATGAAAGAAAATTCCAAACCAGATATTGTAAATCATGCTGGTGAGATTTTAACCTTTCATTTCCAGTTTAGATTTTTGTTGGATAATGTTCTTGCTAATGTAAAAGTGGTATTTGTATTGATTGACAAAATTTGTCAGTCAAGATCCACTACTTAACTGAGAGAATGGGAGGGAGATTTGGATTTTAATTGTATTTTGTTTTTTGTAATTTTTCTGCTCTGGTTAATATTCTGGAGACCAGAGCTTGCTCCCTCTTAAGTGGAGGCAGTTTTACTCAGTTAAAGAGATTGTGTGACTGGGGACTATATGAAATATGAACATTAGAGATGTCATCGTAATACTGTATTTATGTGCATATAATAGTAAAAAGACAGTGTGTATCCTTGTTTTAACTGTGGCATATCATTATACAGGAATTTTAATATTAAAAAAAATTAAATTTACCATTTTTTTGTTTGTTTCATTTGCCTCCAGCTGTTTTTCTACAATGAGACAATAGAGTTGGTGTTTGCTGCTGCAGGAGCTCTTCTGTTCTGTGGATTTATTATTTATGACACTCATTTGCTGATGCACAAATTATCCCCTGAAGAGTACATACTGGCTGCAATCAATCTCTACTTGGACATCATCAATCTGTTCTTACACCTGCTGCGCTTACTGGAGGCATTTAATAAAAAATAGTCAAAGGCAGTGTGGTTTGACTACAGCAAATATAAAGTTAAGCGTTTGGATGATCTGCATACTGTGTGGTTCTGTCTTCTAGAGACTGAATCTTTATGACTTTTTCATTCCATGAATACTGATCTCTCCTTAGGAAAAAAAAAGGCGCTTTTATGTAGCTGAACTTCTTCTCTAGAATATATATTTTATGTAGTAAACATGCCGCTGCCATTTCAGTCATTTTTTTACTCACTTAATTTGCACTTGACATGATTCACAATTAAAACATTTGCCAACTTCTTATTGCTCCAGAGTAAGCCCGTCTCTGCTATTCTGTAGCTACTGGAAATGATTCCTTTGGGATTGTGAGTGTGCGTGCTTCGTAAGAGTAGCCTGAGTTTATTATCATGTGATGTTTTACCAAGCTAAATTTTTGTTCTAGTTTTTGTGTGGTAGGATGGAATGCTGTTTCTAACAGAGGTACTCTGTTCTTGTTAAGGGTGGTCAGATTATTGTGTAAGCTTGTAAGGGTGTTAAATAAAGGGAATGTTCTTCTTTTAAGCACTATTTATTGCCTATCTTTCAAGTGGAGATGGATTATGGCATTTTATCAACTTGTGTATATTAAGGTTAATTGTAAATAAAAATTGGAAAACCTTTGGTCTGTTCTTGCAGCTGAGACGAGAATTTGAGGGCGCTGAGAATGAGCACTGCCAACCCTGGCTGACGGGGGAGTGGCGCCGCGACAGTGGCTGCTTTCCAGGCTGTTGAAATGCTGGAAGGGTGGGCGGGGTAAAAACAGTTTTGAAAGGCTTTCCTGCTTCATGTTCGGTGTTGAAGTATTGCTGCTGCTCGGCGGTCCTGTCAGCGCGAGGTTAGCTAAGAGGCGGGGCAGTACTTGGGAAGCGTCCCCCACAGGCAGCGACAGTGCTTTCCGTGCTGGGACTTGTCTGGGGCTATCGAAACCCTACTGCGAATTGTCTTGAGCAGCTGTGATGATTTCGCTCTTCCGTCTTAGGGTTTCACTAAGAAATGTGTGGCAGTTTTCCTAGTATGGAACGTGTTCATCCATCCATCCCCGCCGCCCTCTACGCGCAGCGGCGGCTGCCCATCGTTTCTCGCGCGCCGGGCTCGCCTTCC